GTGAATTGGTGGGTTTTTGTTAAATGTGAGCCAAAATCATCACAATTAAAAGAACCAAAGACTTAAACTACTTCAGTCTGTGTGCACTGAATTTATTTAATACACGAGTTTCACAATTTGAGTTGAATTACTGAAATAAATGAACTTTTCCACGATTTTCTAATTTATTGAGCTGCACCTGTATACTATATATATTAAAAAGGGAGAATGAAGTCTAAAAGGAATAGAGAAGTAAAATATAAGAGTTCACAAAAATACAAATCTGACATTTCTGTTTGACAAACTCCAGAATGACTTGACAGCTCAAAGTAACTTATATAGAACCTGAAGTTATGAAATAACTAAGCATACATTCTAAATTATTAGAACGTATTCAATTAAATAACCCAGAAATATTCCTATACATTTTAGAAAGAAATACAAGGGTCCACTCACTACCCGAGTGAAAACCTCAGAGGTCAGGCCAAAGCAAACATGAAGCCGTCTTCACATAACTGCAAGAATGCAGAATATTTGTGGTCTTCAAATATTAGTGTAGATACACAGTATGTTGACATAGCAATATATAAGAGAAATAAAGAAGAAAATTACAACATGAATGTTAAATAAAAGCAAAACAGGTTTTCTACAGTGTTACATCATATAATAGACTTTACTCAATTAGTTTTGTTATAAAATCTAAAAATCAGTTTATAGAGTCCCGGCGTCCCGAGTCGTAACACAGGAGGCCTTTTTTTCCGCTCCTGGGGACCTCTTCCAGGTTTCCAGAGCTCTTGCTCCATAAGCTAATCAAAGAGCTAATAAATCAGCCTCTAATCTGAACTACTTAACATTAACAGTGACCCTGCACACACAATACAGACACCGCAAACAATATCAAAGGTACAGCGTACACACTCACCGCTGTCCTTGCTGCTGTTCTCCTCGATGGTCATCTGTTCCGCCAGCTCTGAGAGCGATTCATCGATCGTCTGGCTACCACGCAGAGTGAGTGACAAACGTCTCTTAAACCTCTTCATCCTCTCCATGGGCCCCTGAGGCAGGGGGGGCCTGTGGGACACAAACACAGCGTTAATCATCACCAGCCTGCGAATATCTGTGGGTCATATAGTGTGCAAAGAATCCTTTTCATTAAAAACTGAATTTATTACTTTATTATTATTAAGCTCAGTGGCATTGTGGGTTGAGCGAACCCTAAGATGCATGTATTTCTGACTCCATTTTTGAGGACAAAGTGACTGACAAAACCCAAAAAAAAAAGAACAATGTTTCATAAATCATGCCTTTGTTTACTTGTACACATGTAAAATGTTTCAGAATATTTTGTATTTGTATTTTAGATGTTTAAGAATTGGTTTAGGCTATGTCATGGAAATTATAATGATCTTAAATTAAATTTAAATTAGAGTTTTGTGGCTTTCAGTGCATGTCAGTTAAACATTTACAGTACTTCTCTTCCAGGAAAACAGACTAAAATACTGATGACTCAACTAGTACGCACAGGCATATACTAATAAAATGTTCACTAGAAAGAGAACATCCCATCCCCCTAATGCTCATCTCTGACTAGCAGAAGAAAGAAATTATGGCTTGCTGATGCATTTTCAGCAGTGATAACCCTCATACTCTCATTTACTTACCCAACCAACAATAGCTAGAATGAATCAATTCTGAACAAGTCTTCATTGTTTTCAGTGTGGTTTTAAATTAAGAGTCCTTCACTATTTCCCACCCCAACTTCCTGTTTCAAAAGAGAAAAAAATGCTTGTCAAACCATTTCATGGCATCTTAAATATCTACTGACTAATAGGAAGACCTCATTTAGGGGTGTGTGTGTTTGTAAGTTCCTGTGGGATAGTTTTTAAACTACACAGCAGGCCTTTAAGACTCACACGTGACAAGCACAAATAAATGAAAGAAAAAAACCCTCATTAATAATCCAAAGTCTTTTAATTAAATATTCATGAGACAGGATTTTGTTTTTATAGGCACTTCAACACATGGTTGTGCATTTTTAAAACACACTCCCACATGCACCACAATTCCTTTTACACCAAAGCATTTTCTAAATATAAGATGACAGCAATATGAGACACCGGGTTTATATATTAACAGTAAAACACAGAACATCAAAAAAAAAATGTGTATATATATATACATATATATACATACATACATACATATACATACATACATATACATACATACATACATACATACATACATATACATACATACATATACATACATACATACATATACATACATACATACATGAAGTCAAGCGCACTGCATTATGGGAAACTGTGTACTCTGGTTATATAATGTATGCTTTGGAAATTGTAGCAGGTCATTGGTTCAAATAGACCTTGCAAACTGGTAGCATGCCATTCTGAACATGGGTAGTTGACATGAAATTAAGTAGTAGTATAACATACTAAACTAAAAAAAAAAAACATCTGAAACAACATTTACTATTCTTTTCTTATACAATTTATATTACCTGATATTTTAGGGACTATTGCATTTGTCATACATATACATTCATACATATACATACATACATATATATATACATATATATATATATATACACATATATATACATATATATATATATATACATATATATATATACATACATATATATATATACATATATATATATACATACATATATATATACATACATATACAGTGGGTACGGAAAGTATTCAGACCCCCTTAAATTTTTCACTCTTTGTTATATTGCAGCCATTTGCTAAAATCATTTAAGTTAATTTTTTTTCCTCATTAATGTACACACAGCACCCCATATTTACTTTCCGTACCCACTGTATATATACATACATATATATGCATACACATACATGCATACATACATATACATATATATATAATTTCTGATTGAATGAGGGTTTAAAGGCCAAGGTAATCTAAATATAAAAATAGGACAAAAGACAATACTAAAATTATTTATTTAAAAATTTGTTTTAAAATATTTCAATAATACATTTGAACACAATAATACAAATAATAAATAAATAACGTAAATAGAAATTAGAAATAATGTAAATAGAAGAAATACATTTTTGATTGAATTAAATTGAGGGCAAAATTTGTCTAAATATATACTATTACTATTTTACAATACTATTTGTAAAAATAGGACAGATGAAAACGCTAATAAATATCCAATACTGAATTTATTTATAAATACATTTAAATATATTTCAATAACTAACATTTAAAAAATAATAAATTAATAAGTCAAATAGAAAATGTATGTGTAATACATTAAGTCAAGTCACCTTTATTTATATAGCGCTTTTAACAATACAGATTGTGTCAAAGCAACTGAACAGCATTAATTAGGAAAATAATGTGTCAATAATGCAAAATGACAATAGTAAACACTAATTTTTCAGCTAAAGACAGTTCATCATTGAATTAATAATTAAAAATCTAAATACATTTAAATAATTTTAATTAATAAATATAAATGCATTTAAATAAATTTAAATATATACAAAAACAAATAAACACAATAAATATTTATATCTTGCAGTATATTAACAGTAATACATGCCATCTTTAAAAAAAATATTAATTTCTGTTTGAATGAAAGTTTGAAGGCAAAAGGTATAGGTTTTAAATATAGGATTAAATATAAAAACAGGACAAATGAGAATGCTAAAATAAATATCCAACATTTAAGTTTATTTATACATTAATTTAAATATATTGAAATAATACATTTAGAAACAATACATAATTTAAATAGAAATCGTGTATAATAAATTGAAATTAACAAATGTAACTGCATTTAAATAAATCTAAATACTGAAAAAAAATCTTATATCTTGCACACATAATTATTTTAAAAAATTGTAATCTTAGTCTTACATAGCTGTTGCCATTTCATAAAGTAAATAAACTACTCCAGGTCAGATTTAATGGGGATTTTAGCATGATTTCAGGGTTTAATCACATTGTGTCATGGATAACAACCCCTAAACATAAAATCACTTACGCATGGTTTCTCTAAAGTCTTTTAATACAGCTTTAATGTGTGTGTGTGCTTGTGTATTTCTCTCAATACATGCTGACTTTGCACCATTTTAGGCAGGAAACACCTTGCTATGGGAGGCAGCGGGACTCTTTCTGCCCATTGTATTTCCACCGTCAGACTTCACACTCCCAAATTCACACAGGACTTGAAGGTCCGTTGTGTTCACAAAGCGAGGTACAAATGAAACCCTCCAAGGTTCTCCTAGTCTATCCAAAAGTACAGCACATACTGTTAACATTCACCCCTATACGAAGAGCCGGTACACTGTAATCACAATGAGATGGACAAAAGATACATAAGGTTAAAGCAAGATGGATTTTCTCAGGTGGTGTCTGATTTCAGGAAACGGCAAAGAAGGAAAAGTGCATCCAAAAAAAAAACACAGATCTGCCCCCATCTACAGGAAATAGCCTGGTCAGAGCATCTGCGATTGGTTCCTCTCAAATACAATCATGCACACGCATGCACACCATCTGTCTATCCGACACAGACTAAAGGACAGGGGGCTACGAGCCCTCATATGAAGGACTAGACTATCGCTACAGGCCAATATAGCACCGATGGACAGCTAAAAGTGCATGCTGACAGAGCACATCTCAAACTGCTGGTATCTCAATTCTGCTATGCTGGACAGCAGGGTCCGGACACACCCTGTGGCCACAAGCGTGTGTTTTCATGGGCTTGTGTTTCAACAGTTGGCATTCCTGTGCCAGACCTGCCAGGACAGGGCGCAAACCAGCACGAACACACACATACAGACGCTTTAAAACTCGCCGAAATCACCATCCTGTTCATGCAGACATTATTTCCCATCATTCAGTGTCAGACTTTGATGTTTGACCTACAGGGACTTTACATCATAAATAATGCATTTATATATAATAAAAAATTTACTTAAATAAAAAAATGTATTAAGGCAAGACAGGTGAACAGGGTAAAAAAACACAATTAGATATATATATATATATTTAATTTTTTTTATTATTAAATGTAAATATGTATATATATACAGTGATGTGAAAAAGTGTTGGCCCCCTTCCTGATTTCTTATTTTTTTGCATGTTGTCACTTTAATGTTTCAAATCATGAAACAAATTTAAATATTAGTCAAAGATAACACAAGTGAACACAACATGCAGTTTTTAAATGAAGGTTTTTATTATTAAGGGGTAAACAAAATCCAAAACTACATGGCCCTGTGTGAAGAAGTGTTTGCCCCCAAATCACACACACAGACACAATGTTTTTTGCCTGTAGTGTCTTGCCTTAAACATATATAAATTAGCAAATGTGAATGCATTTAAATACATTTCAAAATAAATAAATACATACATTAAAATAAATAATTTAAATAAATCAATCAATAATTGTGCATCCCTAATTATTATTAAAATATATTTTGTCATCTTGGTCTTATGTTGCGGTTGCAAATTTTTAAAAGCAAAAAACATCAAGGCGGTTTTAGCATAATTTCAAAGGTTAACCACTTTTACATCATGACTAATAACTCTTAAAATGAAAAACATACACTCATGCATGGCTTTTGGTTTTTCTACTCCACTTGAGTCTGACTCAATTAAACAACAACAATCACATCACAAAAGTGGGCGTACAGGCCATTTTCTTGTTTTTTCTCTCTCAGTTTGTCCACTTCTCATTCGGCGTAGGACACTGCCACTGTTGATACAGTGACACGCTGCATTGTTGGCAAATGAGCGAATGGCATTGGGACAGTGCTGTCTATTGTCACCCCTCCCCCTCCCGTCATTAACCCCCCGGCCTGGTGCAATATCCGTCCCCAGACAGCAGCTCTCCGGGGGATCACGCTGATAGGAAAGTGGGCTAATGGAGGCCACATTGAGACTGATACTGAAAAATATGCAAAAATAACAGTTTCTTGTCTGAATGCATCCTAAAATGTAATATATTCCTGTGAGGCAAAGCTGAATTTTCAGCATCATTGCTCCAGTCTTGTGTC